ATCAGGTTCTAGATTATTCTGGCAGATGAACATCAGGACAGCTTCCTCTGAGTTTATAGATTTATGATTCCCGATGATTTGAAAATCTCATATTGATGCTGAAATGTTTATTATTTCCAGACGGATTCATTTCTTTTCTTCATTCATCAGCCGGATCAGAGCCTCCAGCTGATGGGAACAGAAACATCAATCACTAATAGAAAGGTTTTGATCAGATATAGGATCTGATCCTCAGGACGGATTTAAATCCAAATCTGTTTCCACAAAGCAATTTAAGGATGGAATAATTTACCTCCAAACATTTAAACACTTTGTTTTAAAACAGCACTGAAGTTAAATGTTGTTTCCTAATATCATCTGTGGAATTGATCAAATCTGATGTTTGATTATCTTGTGCATATTTTGTCATTGTCTCAATGGTGTTATGAATGTTTTGTGTTTTGTCACTTTGACCCCATGAAGATGAGAAACAGTGGGAACTAACGGGAACTAAATCCATAATAAAGTCCAGTCAGACGGAACCAGAACCAAACCAATGGGTCCAAAAGAACTGAATTACTGAAATTAATAAGGCATTTTGATCACGTTCCAGTTTTCATGTTTTAAGTTTTTATGTTTTAATTTCGGCGTCAGTCAGAACCTTTGTGTGTGAGGCTCTTATTGTGGAGGGTTTGACCCGGAAGCAGCTAGCAGCGGAGCCGCAGCGCAGCGGCCGTCCTCCGGATTCCTCCCCACTCCCAGAGCCTCTGTCTCGGCGGCTCCAGGCGGTCCGGCCGGGTCTGCGACCCAGTGGGATGTTAGTGAGTCCGGGTTCTGCTCGGGGCTTTTCTGGACCGAACCGAGACCAGGCGCGTCTCCGCGGCTCTTCACCGCCATCCTCATCCTCATCCTCATCTTCGGCTGCAGAGGTGAGAGGGAACCGGGCCGAGCGGCTCCAGAGGTTCGGACCCGGTTCGGACCCGGTTCGGTTTGAAGCTCAGGTTCCCGTCCGGAACGACCCGCATCCTGACGGGAACAGTTTGAACCTCTGGTTCCCTTCAGCTTCACTCAATGAGGGAATCACTTCAAAGCTTGTGATGGTGACCTTTAACCTTAAAATAAAGACAAATCTCACCGTTTTTGTCAAATTTTCACCTTCGTGCAAAAACGAGCTAAATATTTTGAAGTAATTGTTTTGTTTAGCATTTAATTCAGGAAGGAAACCAAATCAGAATTTAACCTTAGAATATAAACTGTTAGATAATCGATAATCGGTTGGGACGAACCATGTTGGGCCGATACTGATATCGATATTAATACTGTTATGGCTGATGATTATTGCCGATACTTCATATCTTTGCTTAGTTCCCTTAATGCCTCGCAGCATCACTTCATGACCAAACGCCACATTAACAGCATCTGTTGATTCTGATTGATTAGTGATCGGACTGTCAGATAGTGACGTCACGGTGACGTATAGAGTTTCACCGGTTTTTCCTCAGGAAGTTGAGTTCAGGCTGGTTCTCATGCAGAAAAGATGAAAATGCTCCTTTTCTGGGTTTTGTAATTTGCTGAGAGGTTTTCTGAATATGATTCTGTATTTTAATGATCTGTTTCCTGTAGATTCATTTAGACGTCAGGATTTGTTTCTTCTATCCAGTTGAATTCATTCTGAGTTTATTGACCTGCAGGGATCTGTAGTTGGTTGTCGCTCCTGTAGCTGTCTGTGTCGCAGTGCATCTTCAGAAGTCTGGCTTTGCTAGCATTAGCATAGCTATGCTACATGGTTAGTATTCAGTATCAGTTACGACTCACTGTAAAATATGGAAACAGTTATTCATGATGGGAGGAACATTTTGTCCCAGGATGTTGGACAGTGAAGAGAAGATAGAGAAAAGGGGGTGTGGGTTGAAAGGTCAGTTCAAGGTCAGGTCTCGTCCTCCCAGTGGCACCGGGCTGGATGAGATTCATCCTGACATGTTGAGGGTTAGGGCTGCTGGGAGGACTGGGACAGCACCAGTGGACTGGGAGAACTGGAGGCCCGGTGGTTCCCCTCCAGAGCCTGATGTTCTGGTCTCGTTGGGTTGTCAGAAGCAAAGCTTGGGGGTTAATCCAATATTCAGATTCATCAAATTCTCTGTTTCTAAAGATGACATTTTTGAAAAATCTGGATTGTTTCCAGCAGTGAACTCCTTGGTTTCGCTGGTTGCTGGCAGCCGCCATCTTGTTTCCCAGCTTGTATTTATTTGGACTTGATTAAAATAAAAACTGGAGAAAAATTTCTGTCAAAAATCGATTATAATCAGATTTTTAAAATTTTTTCCCAAAATATCTTAGGTTTTATTTTCTAGACCAGAGCGTAAAGTCAGGTCTAGTTTGGTTCTTTATTATATTAAATATTTAATAGTTTTCCAATATAGTACAAACTGGAATAAAATTATTAAAATAATTTACTTTAGATTTATTGTCAAACACAATCAGAAACTAAACACAAGAATTGAAGATTATTAAGCTTTTGGAATAAAATGATAAATATAACAAATAAAGTTCATAAATTATTCGTGACACTCGTCCCACTGGGACCAGAGCGTCCCCCAACTGGGACCAGAGTGTTTCCCCAACTGGGACCAGAGCGTCCCCCCCAACTGGGACCAGAGCGTCCCCCCCAACTGGGACCAGAGCATCCCCCCCAACTGGGACCAGAGCATCCCCCCAAATGGGACCAGAGCGTCCCCTCCAACTGGGACCAGAGCGTCCCCTCCAACTGGGACCAGAGCATCCCCCCCAACTGGGACCAGAGCGTCCCCCCCAACTGGGACCAGAGCATCCCCCCAAACTGGGACCAGAGCGTCCCCCCCAACTGGGACCAGAGCGTTTCCCCAACTGGGACCAGAGCGTTTCCCCAACTGGGACCAGAGCGTCTCCCCAACTGGGACCAGAGCGTCCCCCCCAACTGGGACCAGAGCGTCCCCCCCAACTGGGACCAGAGCGTCCCCCCCAACTGGGACCAGAGCGTCCCCCCCAACTGGGACCAGAGCGTTTCCCCAACTGGGACCAGAGCGTTTCCCCAACTGGGACCAGAGAGTCCCCCCCAACTGGGACCAGAGCGTCCCCCCCAACTGGGACCAGAGCGTCCCCCCCAACTGGGACCAGAGCGTCCCCCCCAACTGGGACCAGAGCGTTTCCCCAACTGGGACCAGAGCGTCCCCCCAACTGGGACCAGAGCGTCCCCCCAACTGGGACCAGAGCGTTCCCCCAACTGGGACCAGAGCGTCCCCCCAACTGGGACCAGAGCGTCCCCCCAACTGGGACCAGAGCGTTCCCCCAACTGGGACCAGAGCGTCCCCTCCAACTGGGACCAGAGCGTCCCCCCCAACTGGGACCAGAGCGTCCCCCCCAACTGGGACCAGAGCGTCCCCCCCAACTGGGACCAGAGCGTTTCCCCAACTGGGACCAGAGCGTCCCCCCAACTGGGACCAGAGCGTCCCCCAACTGGGACCAGAGCGTTCCCCCAACTGGGACCAGAGCGTCCCCCCAACTGGGACCAGAGCGTCCCCCCAACTGGGACCAGAGCGTTCCCCCAACTGGGACCAGAGCGTCCCCCCAACTGGGACCAGAGCGTCCCCCCAACTGGGACCAGAGCGTCCCCCCAACTGGGACCAGAGCGTTTCCCCAACTGAGACCAGAGCGTTCCCCCCAACTGGGACCAGAGCGTTCCCCCAACTGGGACCAGAGCGTCCCCTCCAACTGGGACCAGAGCGTCCCCCCAACTGGGACCAGAGCGTTCCCCCCAACTGGGACCAGAGCGTTCACCCAACTGGGACCAGAGCGTTCCCCCAACTGGGACCAGAGCGTCCCCTCCAACTGGGACCAGAGCGTCCCCCCCAACTGGGACCAGAGCGTCCCCTCAACTGGGACCAGAGCGTCCCCTCAACTGGGACCAGAGCGTCCCCTCAACTGGGACCAGAGCGTTTCCCCAACTGGGACCAGAGCGTCCCCCCCAACTGGGACCAGAGCGTCCCCCCAACTGGGACCAGAGCGTCCCCTCCAACTGGGACCAGAGCGTCCCCCCAACTGGGACCAGAGCGTTCCCCCCAACTGGGACCAGAGCGTTCCCCCAACTGGGACCAGAGCGTTCCCCCCAACTGGGACCAGAGCGTTCCCCCAACTGGGACCAGAGCGTCCCCTCCAACTGGGACCAGAGCGTCCCCTCCAACTGGGACCAGAGCGTCCCCCCAACTGGGACCAGAGCGTCCCCCCAACTGGGACCAGAGCGTTCCCCCAACTGGGACCAGAGCGTTCCCCCCAACTGGGACCAGAGCGTCCCCTCCAACTGGGACCAGAGCGTTCCCCCCAACTGGGACCAGAGCGTTCCCCCCAACTGGGACCAGAGCGTCCCCCCCAACTGGGACCAGAGCGTCCCCTCCAACTGGGACCAGAACGTCCCCCCAACTGGGACCAGAGCGTTCCCCAACTGGGACCAGAGCGTCCCCCCCAACTGGGACCAGAGCGTTCCCCCCCAACTGGGACCAGAGCGTTCCCCCAACTGGGACCAGAGCGTCCCCTCCAACTGGGACCAGAGCGTTCCCCCCAACTGGGACCAGAGCGTTCCCCCCAACTGGGACCAGAGCGTTCCCCCCAACTGGGACCAGAGCGTCCCCCCCAACTGGGACCAGAGCGTCCCCCCAACTGGGACCAGAGCGTTCCCCCAACTGGGACCAGAGCGTTCCCCCCAACTGGGACCAGAGCGTTCCCCCAACTGGGACCAGAGCGTCCCCTCCAACTGGGACCAGAGCGTCCCCCCAACTGGGACCAGAGCGTCCCCCCAACTGGGACCAGAGCGTTCCCCCAACTGGGACCAGAGCGTTCCCCCCAACTGGGACCAGAGCGTCCCCTCCAACTGGGACCAGAGCGTTCCCCCCAACTGGGACCAGAGCGTTCCCCCCAACTGGGACCAGAGCGTCCCCCCCAACTGGGACCAGAGCGTCCCCTCCAACTGGGACCAGAACGTCCCCCCAACTGGGACCAGAGCGTTCCCCCCAACTGGGACCAGAGCGTTCCCCCAACTGGGACCAGAGCGTTCCCCCAACTGTGACCAGAGCGTTTCCCCAACTGAGACCAGAGCGTCCCCCCCAACTGGGACCAGAGCGTTTCCCCAACTGGGACCAGAGCGTCCCCTCCAACTGGGACCAGAGCGTTCCCCCAACTGGGACCAGAGCGTCCCCTCCAACTGGGACCAGAGCGTCCCCTCCAACTGGGACCAGAGCGTTCCCCCCAACTGGGACCAGAGCGTTCCCCCCAACTGGGACCAGAGCGTTCCCCCCAACTGGGACCAGAGCGTCCCCCCCAACTGGGACCAGAGCGTCCCCCCAACTGGGACCAGAGCGTTCCCCCAACTGGGACCAGAGCGTTCCCCCCAACTGGGACCAGAGCGTTCCCCCAACTGGGACCAGAGCGTCCCCTCCAACTGGGACCAGAGCGTCCCCCCAACTGGGACCAGAGCGTCCCCCCAACTGGGACCAGAGCGTTCCCCCAACTGGGACCAGAGCGTTCCCCCCAACTGGGACCAGAGCGTCCCCTCCAACTGGGACCAGAGCGTTCCCCCCAACTGGGACCAGAGCGTTCCCCCCAACTGGGACCAGAGCGTCCCCCCCAACTGGGACCAGAGCGTCCCCTCCAACTGGGACCAGAACGTCCCCCCAACTGGGACCAGAGCGTTCCCCCCAACTGGGACCAGAGCGTTCCCCCAACTGGACCAGAGCGTTCCCCCAACTGTGACCAGAGCGTTTCCCCAACTGAGACCAGAGCGTCCCCCCCAACTGGGACCAGAGCGTTTCCCCAACTGGGACCAGAGCGTCCCCTCCAACTGGGACCAGAGCGTTCCCCCAACTGGGACCAGAGCGTCCCCTCCAACTGGGACCAGAGCGTTCCCCCCAACTGGGACCAGAGCGTCCCCCCCAACTGGGACCAGAGCGTTCCCCCAACTGAGACCAGAGCGTCCCCCCCAACTGGGACCAGAGCGTTTCCCCAACTGGGACCAGAGCGTTTCCCCAACTGGGACCAGAGCGTCCCCCCCAACTGGGACCAGAGCGTCCCCTCCAACTGGGACCAGAGCGTTCCCCCAACTGGGACCAGAGCGTCCCCTCCAACTGGGACCAGAGCGTTCCCCCAACTGGGACCAGAGCGTTTCCCCAACTGAGACCAGAGCATCCCCCCCAACTGGGACCAGAGCGTTCCCCCAACTGGGACCAGAACGTCCCCCCAACTGGGACCGAGCGTCCCCCCCAACTGGGACCAGAGCGTCCCCTCAACTGGGACCAGAGCGTCCCCACAACTGAATCAGTTCCAGATGGATCTGTTAATGACTGCTGGTTCTGGTTCTGGTTCCGGTTCTGCTGATCCAGTGTCTTTGGACCGACATCAGAACCGTTTTAAAGTTCTGGTCCAGTCAGTCGCCATGGCAACAGGAGCTCATCATGGCCGCCGCCCGTCTGGCTTGATTGGAGGGAATCTGGGTCGGCCTAAAAACGGTCGCCACGTGATTTAACTAGGACACCTGGAGAGCCGGCGGCAGGTTAACGTCTGACCTGCTTCTGCTGATTGAATCATGGAGTTTCTATCTGGTTAGAAACTTTTTGTGTTGCTTGGACAAAGTTTTCATTTTGGGATCAATAAAGTGATATTGAAAGGTTTTAGCAGATGATATTCTTCAATGCTCCTTTATTTAATATTCAGGATAAATTACCCTCTAGTTAATAATACATTACATTTTTGTGAAATAAAGTCAGGATGTAAAACATCATTGAGGTGAATTAACATCAGATATTGACTCTTGATTTTGATCCATCTTGTTTCCATTCATTCCTGTTTATAATATTTCTGCTTCCTGTTGGTTCTCAGGTGTGAAACGTCATGACTGGAGCTGAGACTGAGGATGATATTCCTCTAGGAGAGCGGAAAACCGTCACCGACTTCTGCTACCTGCTGGATAAATCCAAGCAGCTGTTCAATGGGCTCAGGTACGTCCAGCATCCCGGCTCCTGATTGGCTCCTCCAGGAATCCTGGAGGAGCCAATCGTGTCTTCACCACATCAGGGAGGTTTTGATTTAATCATCCCAGTGAAACTCCTGAATGAGAAGCTTCTGATTCTAGTGTGAGAAGAAATTAGGGATTAGCCAGCAGGCTGTGCGCCGAAATCACAGCTGATCTCACGGAAACGCGGCGGAGGGCCGGGCCAGGCAGCGCGGCGGGGCGGGGCGAGGCAGGGCGGGGCGAGGCGGGGCGGGGCGGGGCGAGGCGGGGCGGGGCGGGACAAGGCGAGGCGGGGCGGGGCGGGGCGAGGCGGGCGGGGTGAGGCGGGGCGGGTGAGGCGGGGCGGGGCGGGGTGAGGCGGGGCGGGGCGGGGTGAGGCGGGGCGGGGGAGGCGGGCGGGGTGAGGCGGGGCGGGGTGAGGCGGGGCGGGGCGAGGCGGGCGGGGTGAGGCGGGGCGGGGCGTCCTTCTTCTCCAGGATCTGACAGCCGGCCAGCGGGGCGCCAAGCCGACCCATTCACTCAGAACCACAGGGAGCTGCTTCACCTTGAAGTGACAATAAAAAGTGAAAACATAATAATAATAAAACCAATAATCCAAGCAACATTCAGTTTTACACAGTTGGTTTGAAAAGACGATGTTTTAGTTTAGTCATTTTAATAAAACAATAATGTGATCAAATAAGTCAGCGTTGGTTCATATGAAGGTTTTTATCAGCAGGATTATTAATTATTCCCATCACAAAGACACATCCTGAAAACAAGAAATACATGAAAATCTGAGCTATAAACCAGATTCATAATTAGTTTTTATTCACCTGGGAAGTAAAAACTCTAAAATCTGGTTTTATTACTGAAGGTGAACTGTTAATGAGGATTAGCAGGTCAAAGGTCAGGACATTGAAAGAAGAGACACTGGAGTCCCTCTGGGCTTTGGGTCAAACTGGGTCACCAACGGAACCGCCAACCCACAACTTGGGAATCAGTGGCCTAGTTAAAGTCCAGATCTCAGCCTCCAGGGAGCTGAGCAAAAACGTTGATGAGCTGCAGTGGAAAGTGGAGTAGGATTCCTCCGGAGTGGAGAGACGCTGCGACGCTCCGATCCAAATCCCGGCAGCTTGACGTCGTCTCCTCCAAGTTCCTTCAGGCAGAGAGGGAACAGAGATCCAAAAGAACCGCCTGAGGACGCTGCAGCATTCCCTACAGCGTTCCCTAAATCATTCCCTACAGCATCAGGGCGTCCTCACCGACGCCCTGATTGTTGGCAACACTGTTCCCTACAGCATCGTTCCCCACACTGTTCCCTACAGCATCGTTCCCCACACTGTTCCCTACAGCATCGTTCCCCACACTGTTCCCTACAGCATCGTTCCCCACACTGTTCCCTACAGCATCGTTCCCCACACTGTTCCCTACAGCATCGTTCCCCACACTGTTCCCTCCTGCGTTCCCCACACTGCCTCATGTGGTTTCACGTTGTCGCTCCTCCTCTTCCTCCCGGCTGCAGAGACCTTCCTCAGTACGGACACAAGCAGTGGCAGTCGTACTTCGGCCGGACCTTCGACGTCTACACCAAGCTGTGGAAGTTCCAGCAGCAGCACAGGTGAGTCCCGCCTCACCTGCTGAGGTTCAGGGAACCCGTGCAGCCTCTCCCTCAGATGACGGGTTTGTTTCTGTCGACAGGCAGGTTCTGGATACGAGGTACGGCTTGAAGAGATGGCAGATCGGAGAGGTCGCCTCCAAGATCGGGCAGCTCTACTACCACTACTAGTGAGTCTGCAAACGCCTCGATTCGGTCGGAAACGGGTCGGGAGAATCCAGGAGTTCCTCAGGGCTCCGTGGTCTGACCCCTGTACTTCCAGTTGCTCCAGTGTAACCAGTAGAAGTAAACTGGACGTGTTTATGAACCCAGTGTTGTGTTTTACAGTAAAATACATTTTCTGCTTCAAGAGCTAAACGATTAAAGATGCAGATTAACATAAAAACTAACTGGTCAGAAACCAGCAGAGCACTGCTAGCTACAAAGCTAGCTACGCTAACGCGAAAGCAGTACATCAACACAGCATTTAGAGGAAGCTAATGCTAAAACGTTAACTTTAGCTGCCCTGGAACAACTCCAACCCTCATTCCACATTTAATTTCTACAGCATTTCATGTTCAAGTACATCAGCAGGTTAAATTAAACTAGGGGAAGCTAAGTGTGCTAAATGACTTCAAAGTTAGCAAGGCGCTAAATGGAGAATTAGCCTAGCTGTTAGCGCATTAGCGGCTCAGATGCAGATGGAACGTGTTGATGTTTGTCCTGCAGCCTCCGGACCTCAGAGACCAGCTACCTGAACGAAGCCTTCTCCTTCTACTCGGCCATCCGCCAGCGCTCCTACTACTACCAGGTCAACAAGGAGGACAGGTCAGGCCCGGTGCAGCCCGGCCCAGCCCGGTCCGGTCCGCGGCGCCGTCTGCTGTCGCTCTGATGGTCTGTCGTCTTTAACAGGCCTGAACTGGTGGTGAAGAAGCTCCGCTACTACGCTCGCTACATCGTCGTCTGTTTACTGCTCAACAAGATGGACCTAGTTAAAGTTCTGGTGAAGGTCCGGATGCTGTCAGGGTGCGACCCGCTCTGTGGTTCCGGTCCGAGGTTTTCTAACTTTGGTCCGTCTGCAGGAGTTATCGGAGGAGATCGAAGACTACACCCAGCGCTTCAACACGGAGGACCAGCTGGAGTGGAACCTGGTTCTGCAGGAAGTGGCAGCTTTCATCGAGGTAACCTCTGACCCCAGGTGACCTCTGACCGTGGCAGGCTCGGTCGGGTTTACCCCGTGTTCTGTTTGTGTGAACAGGCCGACCCGGCCGTGGTTCTGAACGACAACAACTCGGTGTTGGTGACCAGCAACCGGCTGCAGGACGGCAGCGTTCCCCCGCTGGAGCAGGGCATGGTGGTCGGCCAGCTGGTCCTCGCCGACGCCCTGATCGTTGGCAACTGCAACAACCAGGTTCTGACCCGCTGACCTCTGGGCCCAGACCCACCTGGGACTCGGTTCCTTTGGCAGCTGGTTAGCTGCTGGGATCTGAGTCGTTTCACACGACGACGGGAACAAAACTGGAAACAAGTTTGGTTTTCATCAGAAAAACAAACAGTTTCCTCCACAATTTGAACATGAAGATTGATCAGAAATGATCAGAAGTGATCAGAAATGATCAGAAGTGATCATAAGTGATCAGAAGTGATCAGAAATGATTAGAAGTGATCAGAAATGATTAGAAGTGATCAGAAATGATCAGAAATGATGAGAAGTGATCAGAAATGATCAGAAGTGATCCATTAAACTCCACATGACGGAGCAAAGATCCCTCATGTTCAGAGAGTTAAAAGGATCCAGTCTGTGCTGCTAATGCTGCTGCTTCCTGCAGGTGAAGTTCAGTGAGTTGACCGTCGACATGTTCCGGATGCTGCAGGCTCTGGAGAGGGAACCCGTCAACCTGGCAACGCAGACGGCCAAACAGGCAACGCTGGTGGGTTTCTGGCTCAACGCGTTTCAAACAGGTTCAGCGAAGAAACAAAATGTTCATCGATTCTAACTCAAAAGGTGGGAATGGATGACCTTTGACCTTTACAGGTGAACCTGACCTAAAGCAGGCTCTGAGGTGAACTGCTTCCTGGTTTTAGTCGGTGAAAAGCTGCAGCCGCCTGATTGGTTCTTCTTTCACATTGAAATATTGATGAATCTGATTGCAAACTGAAGTGTTTCCATGGCAACATCAAGGCTTCACTGAACTGGTTGGTCTTTATGACATCATCATCCAGCTGATGTCATGTTATCTTCATGACATCAGCTGGTCAATGTGTCATAATTAGATTAGTGAGAACCGAGCCCTGAGGAACTCCACACGGAGTTTTTTCTCTGGAGAGCAACTAACAGAATATTTCTGATCGATAATCCTGGTACAAGGTTTACCAGGATTATTGCCATCATCAGATTTTCTGATTGTGAAGATCAATAATTCAAATCCAGATAAAAACCAATCAGTTCACAGAAGGAGATCAGAGATGATCAGTTCTGAATCAAAGCTCCTGGGTTCCATGTAGGACGGTTCTGGAATTCCACCTGAACCATGATGATAATAATAATGATAATACTAATGATGATAATGATGATGATAACAATAATAATGATAATACTTATGATGATAATGATGGTGATAACAATAATAATGATAATACTTATGATGATAATAATGATAATACTAATGATGATAATGATGATGATAACAATAATAATGATAATACTTATGATGATAATGATGTTGATAACAATAATAATGATAATACTTATGATGATAATGATGGTGATAATAATGATAATACTAATGATGATAATAATGATAATACTAATGATGATAATGATGATGATAACAATAATAATGATAATACTTATGATGATAATGATGATAACAATAATAATGATAATACTTATGATGATAATGATGGTGATAACAATGATAATACTAATGATGATAACGATGATGATAATAATGATAATACTAATGATGATGATGATAATAATGATAATACTAATGATGGTAACGATGATGATAATAATGATAATACTAATGATAATAATGATAATACTAATGATGATAATGATGATAACAATAATAATACTAATGATGATAATGATGATAACAATAATAATGATAATACTTATGATGATAATGATGGTGATAATGATAATACTAATGATGATAACGATGATGATAATAATGATAATACTAATGATAATGATGATGATAATAATGATAATACTAATGATGATGATGATGATAACAATAATAATGATAATACTTATGATGATAATGATGGTGATAACAATAATAATGATAATACTTATGATGCTTATGATGATAATGATGGTGATAACAATGATAATACTAATGATGATAACGATGATGATAATAATGATAATACTAATGATGATAATGATGATGATAATAATGATAATACTAATGATGATGATGATGATAACAATAATAATACTAATGATGATAATGATGATAACAATAATAATGATAATACTTATGATGATAATGATGGTGATAACAATAATAATGATAATACTTATGATGATAATGATGGTGATAACAATGATAATACTAATGATGATAACGACGATGATAATAATGATAATACTAATGATGATAACGATGATAATAATAATGATAATACTAATGATGATAACGATGATGATAATAATGATAATACTAATGATGATAATATTGATAACAATAATAATGATAATACTAATGATGACAACGATGATGATAATAATGATAATACTAATGATGATAATAATGATGATAACAATAATAATGATAATATTAATGATGATAATGATGATGATAATGATAATACTAATGATGATAATGATGGTAATAATGATAATACTAATGATGATAACGATGATGATAATAATGATAATACTAATGATGATAATAATGATGATAACAATAATAATGATAATATTAATGATGATAATGATAATACTAATGATGATAACGATGGTGATGTTTTCCTCCAGGAGCCCAGTGAGAAACCAGCCAAGAGAGAAAACCCCCATAAGTACCTGCTGTACAAGCCGACCTTCAGCCAGCTCTACACATTCCTGTCGGCTTCCTTCAAGGTCAGCCTGGAAACCTTGACCAACCTGAGCAGCTTCATGTTCTGAGTCAGATGAGGTCAGGTTTCCTGCCTCTTCTCCTGCTTCAGATCATCTCCAGTGTTTCTGTTGTGTGTGCTTTTTGCAGGAGCTTCCTGCCAACAGCGTCCTGCTGGTGTATTTATCAGCTACTGGCGTTTTCCCAGCAACACATCTAGACTACGAAGGTAAAACCTGCAGCACATTGTTTCCTCCTCACTCCTTCCACAACCTGAACACTTAAAACATGAAATATTATTTATTCACAGTGGATACAAAAACCATCCACAGGTTAAACTAATCATAAACTGATCAATAATCCTGGATTATTCAGATGGAAACAAACCAATCTTCAGTGTGGAAGTCGGAGCGTAAATACAGAACAGGGAGGAAGGGAAGACTTGTCCTCAAACCTGGACGTCTGTGAGGACGTCTGCAGGTCAGGAGGCTGAAGACGAATCGGATGAGATTATCAGATGAGATTATCAGATGGGATTATCAGATGGGATTAATGCTGCATCAGGGTGTTTCCTTACAGATTAGTTTGCCCTCAGGTGAATTTTACAGGTTCAAATTACAGGGCAGGTGTTGAGATGTGACTTTTCATAATCAAACCTTATATGTATTGATTATGTATGGAGCTAAATTATGGCCTTAAATGTTGTGCAACACAATCGTTCTTAAACCAAGACATAATATCTAAAGTTGAGCCAGCAGTTAATTACACTTAAGATTAATCTGCAGTGAACAGATTCATTATAACACAGATTAAGATTTAGAAAACATTTCATCTGAACTCCATAAATAATAGTTTTTGGTCTTTTTCTGGGTCAGAACCATTTTGAATGTGTCCTTGGTGCAAATGACAAGTTTTGAGGTAAAACAAACCTGGTGGCTCATGTTTCGTGTTTTTCTGATGTTGGTCATATTTTAGTTATGGTGTGTCTGTAATGTGTGAATTTAAATAATTAATGATATGGGTTTTAATGCAATTCAAATTTTAATGTAAATAGTTAAAGTTTTGTATTTTTGTCTGTCTACAAACTTTGTATTGTGTTTCTGGTTCGCCCAGAAATGTGACGCTCGAGCGTCATTCGCTAACCTCTGCTAACGTCTGCTAATATCTGCTAACAATCCACTAACATCCGCTAATATCAACTAACATCCGCTAATGTCTCCTAACATCTGCTAACAATCCACTAACATCCGCTAATATCCGCTAACGTCCGCTAATATCAGCTAACATCCGCTAATGTCTCCTAACGTCTGCTGACAATCCACTAACATCCGCTAATGTCCGCTAACGTCCGCTAATATCTGCTAACGTCTGCTAACAATCCACTAACATCCACTAAATCCGCTAATATCCGCTAACGTCCGCTAATATCAGCTAACATCCGCTAATGTCTCCTAACGTCTGCTAACAATCCACTAACATCCACTAACATCCGCTAATGTCCGCTAACGTCCGCTAATGTCTCCTAACGTCTGCTAACAATCCACTAACATCCGCTAATGTCCGCTAACGTCCGCTAATATCTGCTAACGTCTGCTAACAATCCACTAACATCCGCTAATGTCCGCTAATATCCGCTAACATCGACGTTAGCGGATGTTAGCGGACTAGAAGTTGCTTCTTCTATGCCCATCACTGCCATAAACTGAAATTTTCAGTTTCAGGTTGTTGTTTTTTTATTAATTTTTTTTAGCAAACTGTTTGGCCCCAATTTAGCTCCGTATAAGGTGTGTATACCTTTAAGATCTTCTGCAGCCGAACAGAAAAACAGATTCCGTTTCCCAGCTGATCATCAGGATGGAAGGAACTTAAACTCCAGATTAAACCTGGACTTAATCTGGAGTTCTGGTAATTCGGTGCGATCCGGATTAAATCTGGTTCTGTTGGGTCCGTTTACCTCAGCAGGTCCGTATGACTTCGGCGGCGTTCTGACCAACACCAACAGGGACGTGGTGAACGGGGAGACGGTCCAGAAGAGGAACCAGGCCCAGAAAGAGATGCACTGGTGAGTGTGACGGAGACTGGACCGGTTCCCGGTCAGAACCAGGTTCTGATGCTTGTTTCCGCCGCAGCCTTCATCCTGGAGATCTGTTTCCTTTCACCCGGAAGCCGCTCTTCATCATCGTGGATTCCTCAAACAGCACCGCCTATAAGGTGGGTGGACCTGCTGGTCCCGGTCGGGTTCTGGTTCTTTCTGGGCCCGTTTAATCCTCCTGTGTTCGATCCCATCAGAACTTCTCCAACCTGTTCGGCCAGCCGCTTGTGTGCCTGCTCTCCCGACCGTT